TACAATAAAAATGTTTTTTTTTATTTATGCAATTTTTTTTTTTTACAAACATTATGTAAAATATAAATTATGTCAAAATAGGGTTGTTCACAGTAAATTAAAAGCAGGTTTTCATTCCAGCTGCTCCAAAGAGCTGGCTGTATTAGTCTCCGGATCGGTTCAGTTACAGTATGATGCATAACGGTTCGGTCTGCAGCTTAAAGCGGAAAGATATAGTGATCAGTGTGATGCAGAACGTTGCTTTTAGTGTTCATTAGTCTGACTGCTTTATAAATCAGCCTTAGCCTTACTGAGCCACACGAGGACATCAGTCACACTTGAGACGTCTTGTGCTTCCACTTATTTAACACACCATTAATATTAATCAGAAATTGAGCTCTTCATTATTTCCAGGCCATTCCCCACAGACCATTATTCTCCTGTCTTATGTTTTAGTTAATATTCATAAATTAAACACCTCGAGGTAGCTTTTGTCTTAACCTGATTGATTCTTCAGTGTATTCTTGCTCGATTAAGACCCCTTTAAGAACTCATAGCACTTAAGGCACAAAGAGTTTGTTTCTCGTGCATTTGTTTTACTTTCTTATACTACTATATTTGGTGTTACTATTTATGTGTTTGCTTCTATATTAAGAGGGTATGTGGCTTTATAGAGCTCCAAGAGAGAATTCAAAGCCACCAATTCTAACTGCAAGGAGTTTATTAATGATTATGCACACTGACCTGTCATAATTGTTCAGCAATATGGTTTCTTTATGTGATAATTATGCAGTTTCAAGTAGCACAAGTGGTTAGTAAAGTTCTGTCGAAGCATTAACAAGTCACTGTGACTGGCTGATTTGTTTTTAACTTGTTTTCTTTGTTTAGACTGCAGTGAATTCATATTTTCATCATAGTAATTATAAGTCGTTATTTATTGAATGCAAACAGTTGTGGAAAAAATTGAGGAAGTTTGTTCTTTCAGAGAAAGTAGGCCACATAGCTAAGCTTAAGTATACACCATTCCTGCTTCTAATGATTTTTCCTTCTCTAACTACACTACATCCATTTATCATGGTACCATTTGACCAGAACAAAGCCAGCTCTGCCATTATTTCTGGAAAAAATAGACGCCATTAGTGTGTCTGTGTGGAGATAAGCATGGCTACACATTGACACTGCAGCTTGAACTTCACTGAATTTGTTGGTGCCAGTCTAATGCTTTGCCAAAACGTGTCCGTTGACCAGTCGCATATGTTTCCCTCATGAATTCATCTTCCAGCGGATGAATTGTGCCATATCCTGTTCTGTGTCTAAATTAGAGAAAGGAAAAGATTCAGGATAATGACATGATGCACTCCAAAACATCTCTCTCCATGACAGAAATACCAAAGCGATGGGAAACCAGCCTACTCACTCCCTTATTTCCTGAAACTTAGCTTTTTTTCTTTGTATGCAAGGGAGCTTGAGGAAATGCTTCTCTATCGTCACCAAGAATGTCCAGCTACACTTTGAACAAAACAAGTTTCCTTTGTAGTACATCATCAAAAACATAAGAATTAGTTTTCTTCTCCTCAAGCAGAAACAGTCAGCTGATTTGATTTTGCTTGTGAGGACAATCATTTTTCACTTCACAAAACAGCTGCTGTCCTCTGAAGTTTTGTGGTCAACAACCATGGTGTGTTTCACCGACTTAATGACTTCAGGGTATAAATAACACATTTACCAAAGATGTGAGATGGCAAGAAAATGCTAACATTTGTTGAAAAGCAAGGTCTCTAGATGAGTTTTTTTGAAAGTTGAACTTCTTAACTTGAGTGCTATGCTTTTAGAATGACGTGTCATGCACAAGTCACCTCAAAAGACGTAAGATGTGAGCGCAACAAATACATCCTCCTAGCGCATGATTGATGCGTTCTGTGTGAATGGCTTATTGGGGTGGTGCATGCATTTTTGCATTAAAAAACGTGGAATATGAAAAAAAGCAAGGTCTCATTTTTTAAAAGTTAAACCAACCCAATCTCAAGGTGGTGATTTCATATGCATTCATGCAATGTGATTTGTACGGAAATGTACAAAAAAAAAAAAAAAGCAATCTAGCCCCAAACCTAATGAGACTGTACGAATTTATACAAATTATCCACCAAATCACCAAAACATAAAATAGTTACAAATTGCTATAAGAAAACTTATTTTAACTTGAGCGACATGTTTTTAGAACACAGTATCAGGCGCTACTTATGAGGTGGCAATTTTGTGTAAATTTGTACAAGGTACAGAAAAGTGTGATTTTTAGAAAAGCAGCATAAAAAGTACAGCCCTACTCCTAACTGTCAGATGGGCATAAGCAAATCGTACGAAAACGCACAAATGAGATTTCCTATTCGTATAAATAATCAACCAATTTGCCAAAACGTGCAATAATTCCGAATTATCGTACAAAGTATTTTTGAACTTGAGTGCCTCGTGATTTGTACGGAAATGTAAAAAAAAAAAAAAAAAGCAATCTAGCCCCAAACCTAATGAGACTGTATGAATTTATACAAATTATCCACCAAATCACCAAAACATAAAATAGTTACAAATTGCTATAAGAAAACTTATTTTAACTTGAGCGACATGTTTTTAGAACACAGTATCAGGCGCTACTTATGAGGTGGCAATTTTGTGTAAATTTGTACAAGGTACAGAAAAGTGTGATTTTTAGAAAAGCAGCATAAAAAGTACAGCCCTACTCCTAACTGTCAGATGGGCATAAGCAAATCGTACGAAAACGCACAAATGAGATTTCCTATTCGTATAAATAATCAACCAATTTGCCAAAACGTGCAATAATTCCGAATTATCGTACAAAGTATTTTTGAACTTGAGTGCCTCGTTGCAAGGTGCAACATTCAAATATGACAGCTGTGTGCTTTTAAAAAACAATAAAAAAGGAGTGCAGTTGAGTGCAAAACTGCATTCTGTGTGAATGGCCTCTTATGACGTTCCTTTATGCTTCGTCTTGCATTTTTGAACGCAAGTACGTGTTTATATTCAACTTTAGTGTGAAAGATTATACATTAATTGAATTTTTACTCCCAGAATGTGACTTTTTCTTTGCTGATTTTGCTGTGTGGACATCCAGGCCCTGGCAGGTCTGTGTGAGAATGAGATGAAGAGGGAAACGAAGGGAAAAGTCAACGGGGAGCCATTTAAGCTTCCAGTCAGCGGAGGAAGCAGGGAGGAACAAGATGAGGAGGGAAATGATGGGAAAAGTCAATGGGAGCCAGTGAAGTTTCCGGTCAGTGGAAGAAGCAGGGAGGAACCACACAATACTCCTTATCAGGCATCGACGCTTTATAGGGAACTGCATGGGAAAATAAGAAGGAGAGGGGAGAGTGAGGGCGAAGGGAATTGGAAGGAAAGAGAGGTGCAATTTATTTTTTCATCAGTGATTCAAAGGGACTAAACAGGATGCACAGATGGAAAATATTCTGTTATTATTTCTCTCTGTTTCAATCTCGTCTCTATTTCTCCCTCACACGCAAACATATGCCAATCTCATCTAGAATGATGCATGATGAGCTCCTTCTGAAAATAATCAGCTTCTTTTTTGCCTCACTGTCTGAAGTGTTAACAGGATTTTAGGAAACAAATTCATGTCTGGCCTAAGGATGTACATGAATAAACTGTCTTCAAGTTCTGTTATTTCTCTCTCGCTGTATGCTCTATGCATCATGGGCCTCAATCCAAATTTGATTGTAAAAATCAGTGATATATATATATATATTTTTTTTTTTTCAGTTGTGGATGAAAATGTAAACAAGTTTTTGTAATGTGTTACCTATCACAAATTGGACAGCAATGTAAATGGTTTCAGATTAAAATGTTTTGCCCTGAAAACATTTTCCCATAATATCCTCACTTCCTTATTTGAGTCAGGCTGCATGGGAACTATAACAAAATCTCTCATTAGACAAGCAGCATTTTACGTGACACGTTTTTAATATATAAAACATATGGATGGCAGAACTAAAAAGACACTTGTTTTATAAGTTGAATTAATGCAGCTGTTCAGTATTCTATGGGGTAATGGGTTGGGAACATAGTTTGAGCAGTGAATGGGTGCCGTCAGAATGTGAATTCAAACAGCTGATAAAAACATCACAATAATCCACAAGTAAACCACTTAACTCTTGTCAATTTATAATGTCTTGTGAAGTGAAAAGCTGCATGTTTGTAAGAAACAAGTCCATCATTTGATGTTTTTAACTTCAAATCATTGCTTCCAGCTTTCTTACAAACATCCAGGATGGCCTGAGGGTGAGTAAATTTTCAGCAAATTTTCATTTTTGGGTGAAGTATTCCTTTAACCAGCCAACTTCATTTGTGGAATTACGTTATGGAAAATTCAAAGAGGCGTTTGTAGTATTATATATATATATATATATATATAAATTCTTTATACAACCGGAGCTCTGAAAAAGAAAATGACACGCGTATTACAGTCCTCCTCAGACTTGTTTTTTGTACATAAGGTGAATAAAAAAGCTAAAATTTTACATTAAAATTTATTAATATTACTAAGAATATCTTGCCATTTTTATTTTTATGATCGTTATTATAT